TTTGGTTGGATATGACCATAAGATATTCTGGTTTCGAAATGTTTTTTTTTAATTAAAAAGTGACACACGGCCACTTTAAAAACAACAAAAATCATATCATTCAGAATATACACATTTTTAAGGTCTGTTTGCCTGCATTTAATTTTCCGATGAAATATTTTTTCAGGGCCAGTCGAAAACAAAAGTCAAAAGACCTTTAACTCCCTTCAGTGTTGAGGTCCTCCTGACTGAACACACAGATCTCCTTGTGGGTCCTCATCCAAGCCATATTTCCTAAAAAGGAACAGGCGAGATTCAGGGTCAAATTCTTCATCCTTAAAAATCCTGCAAAGACACAAGAATGATGTAAGACGGTAAGTCTCCGAAACGCAGTCTGCTAACTCATTCACCCCAAATGTCGACATGCGTTAGGATTCTACCACTGCTTGCCTTAATCACCTTCTGTTGCCCCCGTGACCCCTCCCCTTCTTAATTAATTGGATTAAAGGGCCCATTTCTTAATTATGAAAGCCGAAAATCTACCAAGAGGATTTGCAGCTTTACTCGAGAACAAGCAGGGAAGGAATTCCAAAGATTTGTTTTGAGACATACTTTCCTCTAAGAGGCGACTTAGCAACGAAATGCTAGTGATTTTTAGTAACTCCGCACTTTCTGCGAGACTTAGCTCAGTTGACGTTGATGCGGTGGTTCTCATGCTTTTTAGACTAAAAGCCACCTAAAAAAAAATAATGTTAAAAATAGGCTCACCCGGTACCCCCATAATGACACAAATTATGCAATTTTAAATACAAAAAAAATACATTCCAAATTAAAAAATAGATTCACTAAAAATTTGAAAACAAAAATTGTGTGACGTCACCACAAATGGGCCTGAGGGGGGAAATATGTGATGATAACCATAAAACAGGAATGCAAGACTTTTGTTTGTGTAAAATCAGGGAAAAATATTTACGACTCCATTACACTTTACACATTACACCATTTACTAATATTGTTGGGGTCTGAGCATATTTGGACAAGTCGAAACACAACAAATTCAACGAAAAAGATGATTCCAGTTGCCTGGACTCACCCTTTGCAGACCTGCCTGACCGGAATTTGACACAACCGTTAAGAACAAAACTCAATTTGAGCGAGCGCATTGGTATTTTATATTGATACCATAACAGTCATTTAAAATGATTTTTAAGCTATAATATGTACATGTAAATGCTTTCATCTGAAAATTCACCAAATTGTATCATTTTCGCAATATTTTTATTTTTTTAGGTGATTGTCATTATTATTTCATCTTCTGAGGTTTGACAGCATTTTTTTTTTTTTTTAGACTCTGCCATCAGAGGTCCTTTTGACACCACTGTCATCAGTACGTGAAATGTTTCCAAAAAAATGGCCCCGCAAAATTCAAACTCAATCTCATCCGTCGTCATTATTGAGACAAATGCATCCTCCCCATCGAAAGCGTAAACAACACCCGCTGTGCCGTATGAGTCAGTGAGGCGACCAACGCAAGCAGATGCCAGTCTTGGCCTTGAAGTGTAATCATCATACTAGCGCAACGGAGCACTGTCTATCGCCAGTTGTGCTTTGATAGACGTCAAGAGCTGCGTTGCATAACGCGCGCCAAATTCCTTGCTTCATGCCCTCATAAGGACAAGCGAGAGAGGTGCGTGACAATCTTGGCTGCACAAAGGAAAGGAAGTGCCAAAGAAGCATCGGGAAGGACAAAAGTGAATGTGGATGCAAGATGACAAAGAACTATTTCTACCTCCCCGGGGTGAAATCATCATTTATAACTGCCCGGCCACTTGTTGCTAGGCAGAATTTGGAGGGCACAATTACAACTTCCCATTAGCTTGTCGCGAGGTGGATTTGATATGATTCCATGACAATTATCGATCGACTGGTCACTCGGGGGAAATCTTGAGCTCCAGTGTAACTGACAAAGTACTCGTCACGAGGGAGAATTCGTATTGCTCGATTATAACTGCCTATTCGCCTGTCGCTTGATGGATTCCATCACAATCAATTACAGCTGCCGATAGGCAGAATCTGCAGGTGCCAGTTATAATTGAGTCCGACGAATTCTGCCCTGCGGCAATCGGTGCGGGAGTTAAAATCGAGACCGACATATTCTGCTGAGCAGCAAGTGATAACCGAGCTCTGTGAATTCTGCCATCCTAAATCGTTAAAATTTTTTCACATTTTTATGAATTTTGCTGAGCAACAAGTGTCTCAGCAGTTAGAACTGATCCCTATGAATTCTGCCAACCGAGCTACAAGTGGCTGGGCAATTAAAATCAAGCCCTACGATTTCTGCCTAGCAACAATTTACTGTATAATCCAGTGCGATGAATTCACTCTAGCGACAAGCTGCAATTCCATTCGACAAATTCTACCAAACAACAAGAAGCTGGGCAATTCTAATGGAGTCCTATGACTTCTGCCGAGCAACAAGTTTTAATTTAAATTTCATTTCATTTGAACAATTGATAAACAGTAAGCAGCAACTGACAAAGACAAAGCTGCACATGTACAATTGAGCCCTATGAAATCTGCTCAGCAAAACATCGCCGGGAGGTTACAGTAAGTCCTACAAATTCTTCCTAGCAACAAGTTAGAATGAAACCCAAGAACTCTGCCTAGCAACAAGTGATCGGGTCATTATAATTGAGCCCTATGAATCTAAAACGGGCCTCACCAACTTGGGAGCCCCCAAAGTAGCTCACCGGTGTTGGGACATTGTAATTTTCTAGGAATTTTGTAGAGGTTGTGGACAACGGCAGAGATTTTTCAGAATTATCTATTGCCGAATATTTCTCTCTTTCCTAATTATTGTGAGGAAATCATTAACGTCAGATGTGTATTCTCATAAATGATTGTCATTAATTATAATTGTTCACATATAATTTAAATATATGTTATTTCAGAAGTGTGTATTAAAACTGTTTGCCCTTCACATTAAATCAGGACCCAAGAAGTAGCTCATAGTTTCAAAAAGGTTGGTGACATGTGAATAAAACCAAAAAACACTGCTGCATATTACACGAAATAAAAGATGAAGACATGTTACAGGCGCTGCAGGTTTGGAGGGTTTTAACCAACTCTTCGGACAATGAAGCTCGCCTGCAAAGCGCTGATATGATGTCATTGTCAGACCATGACTTCATGTACTCAAAACCTATTCAGCACCATCGTGCAGCCTTCTAACACTGACCAGACTGCTGAACTCCACCATATCAGCTCTTCCAAATGTGGAGCCCTTTTCGAGTGGAAAGATTTGAGGGCGCTCTGATAACAACAACAAAAAAAATCTCTGTGCCATGCTGCTGGTTTCACTTAATGGTTGGCATATGTGCATGTGAAAAGAGCCATGTCATTGATGTTTAAGGAATCGTATTACTTATATTATACGGAGCAGCCAGAACATTGACCTCAGTTCAATACATTTAAACTTACTCTCCCATCTTCGCCGAATTGCCCTGCAATCGTCTCCTTCTTCATCAACCTTGGATAATCCCATGTCGGTGGAAATGTATTGCCATCATCTCCCCCGAGGCCCAGTCGCAATGTATAGCCTATAAAAAGGCCTCGACGTGATAACAGTGAAATTGACTCAAGGGGCGACACACAATGCATAGAAGAGCTGGCGATAAAAGACCAAACGCGTGCACACACGCACAAACACGGATGCATGGACACACAGAAGTGGTCTTGTTGACACAAAGGTCAGGTATCACCGACGCTCTAAATTTGAACCCCTTAAATGAAGAAACCCCTGGCTCATATGTTTACTTTGATGATATTTTTACACATTAGTGGATGAACTGTTGCCGATATTTTTACTTATTTCGAGATAAACTTTCTTTAATAAATAATATGCAGATTGAAAACATGTTATACCTGATGACTTTCAAACGCAATGGAACCTCACTCTCAGCATTTAATTCATTCAATTATCCCATTTACGAAATCAAACATTCGCAACCCGAGGTATTGTTTATCATTGAGATGAATGGTATGTAATTAATCTGCTCCAAACAAAGCTATGTATTGCATGCTTTATGTTTAAGGGTGTGTGATTTAAAATAAATACTGTACAATACAGAAACACTTCATTATAGAGAAACAACACAGCATGCTTGCTAGCAAAACACTGTGCAACATCCTAGCAGCCTAGCCTTTCACATACAGTAAGGTTTATGTTCACGATGGATACTGCTAGCCAAAAATGGTCCTCCTGTCCAACAATGACATGCAAAAGCGGTGTTGCTTTCTGGGATATTGTGGGCATTTTGGGGTCGTGACATCCATGGTGAATGTAAACAAGGCTCACCTGTTTGTCAGTTTGGACATGTGACATTCGCAAGTTCAGGACCGATTGGTCGTGAGCTGAGCCCTGAGCAACTGTGATGTTATTTTCAGTTGAGAGCAAATGGCAAAATGGCCGCCCCCTGAGATGGATGAAAACAGGTGGATTTTTCAGTTTAACTCATATTCCAGCAAGGCAGTATTAATCAGAATGTCATGTTGAGACTGGTAGGAGTGCATAGAAATAATCATTGAAACACTCTTGTACTTTTGATGTCCATTCCATGGAGATGCATCCTCTTCTCTCACACCAGCTACCTTCATGTGTGTGTGTTTGTATACATAATATATACAAACAATGCAACTTACTCACTGTAGCGCAAAGTGAAGCTACTGGCAGCCATCTTTCATTGCCACTCGCTAAGTGCCCCTAAATCAAAAGCATTGATTTTTTTCTCGGGCCAAAATGTCACTGTGTGGCATATGATTGTACCCATAAGTCTGGGAGAATCGCTACACGCACAGTTCATCGGTAAGAATGGCCAATGCTCATACATATATGTACAGAAATATGTGTTTTAACATCTGTTGCTGTCTTAGTGTATAGAAAAATGGCTAATAGGCTAACTGTATTCCGTTGCCATGGTGACCCCCGAGCAAATTGCTCACAGGCTGTTGGTGAGCAATACCAATTTAGAGAAGCCATTTTGCGCAGTACCGGATAATTCTCAAACACTGGGACAGCTGACGTCAGCGAAGTTCCGAACCGCCGGTTCGTAAAAGGACATGAGCTGTCGCCCTCTCCGCCTCCTCTGAGGGTGCTTGTCCTTGTCACCAGGGAGAGACAGAGAGCGGGGAGGAGCGGAGTGGAAGCCGCAGGGCCAGCCAGAGAGCAGCGGGCGGGCGGGGGTATCGGACAGTTTCGCCGCATTGCTATTCGATCCCCTCCGCCCGGTGACCCCCCCGCCCCCTCCCCAGCACCACTCCCCAGTGAGAGGTGGGAGTTGTCCGACTCGGTGAATCCACCAGGCGGGCTACTACTGAGCAGGTGGACGGCTGCTTGCCTCGCTCGCTCGCTCCTAACCGGTGCGTTGTGTTCTTTTACGCGTATGATTGTCTTTGGTGAGGACTTTTTTTCTATGACATGGAGGACGATGACAAGCTAGCCAGGTCGAGGCTGCTTTGCTAAGGTAGGCACCTTAACCTCACCTTTCGTCAAATTGTTTTCCAAACCACCACTCAAGCAAATGAATGTCATGTTTATTTTATGTGAATGTATTTCAACGCGGTACTACTAGCCTAAGTGATCCCTGGATGTCCGCGGCAGATGAGCACAGGCAAGCCGGCCGAGGTCGCTCGTGTCGTCGCCTTGGTGCCTTCACGTGAGCCGCTCTTTTTCCAGCACGTTTATGGAAGAACTAAAAGAGTGAGAGATATATAAACTAAAAGAGTGAGAGATATATATTTAAAAAAAAAAAAGGATGCGTCTGTTCTCTTCTTTAAGCACCGGAAGGATTAAGACGTGGAGTGATACCGTAGCTAAAAGAGTGAGAGATATATATATTTAAAAAAAAGGATGCGTCTGTTCTCTTCTTTCAGCACCGGAAGGATTAAGACGTGGAGTGATACCGTAAACAAAAGCCTTCTAATGGTCAGAATCACTGGTTTAATCCCTCAATGCCGCATAATCACTATTGTCATAGGATGCTGACCGTAAAATGCTTCCATGCATACAGGAAATGATTCACAAAATAACTATATTATTGTCAATTCGTTTTTATATCCACAAAATAGGAGACCGTTGCTTGAAGAGGTTGCAAAAGAATAGATCTGTTGCCTTTATTGTCATTGATCAAGTGTAAAAATAAGTTCAGGAACTGCCACTCTTCGTATAAATAAACGCGCTTTTCAGTTTAACTCTAAATGCAGTATCAAAAGTTTGGACACATGAAGAGGTTAAGAAATTTGAGATACTAAATCGTGATAATGCACAGCTGTGAAATGAAAATTCACTCCAGGTCTCAAAGCTTCATCCATGTCATAAAGCTGACGGAGAAAATAACAAGAAGTGCACAGGTGTTATCTGGGCAAAAGGTGGCTACAAAAATTTAAATATTAAAGCCAAACAAATACCGGTAAATCCGATGTGCAGGTGATGTCGAAAACCATTACGGTCCTGTCAAGTACTCCATCTAGTGGATTAACATTTTTCTCCATCAAATAATTCCATCAAGATTTCTTCATAATGACTTAAGTAGCAACTTCTTCTTCTTCTTCTCCTTTCGGCTATAATGAAAAAAAGAAAAGAATGAAAGTTTTGACCCAAGGTATGTGCTTTTTAGATGCCAGTTTTTTGCCTAATCTATACAACTCAATCTGAGAAAAGCTTGTGCTAGTAAAAAAATTATATATATTGCCTTCATGGGTGGATGACAGATTTTTGGTGATAGGCTACATTGTCAAAAGTATTTGCACGCCTGCCTTGACTTGCATATGTATTTAAATGATTTGTTTTCATATGACATCTGGGGAGGCTTTGTACAAGGTTTAAGAGTGTGTTGGGAGATTTATTGCAAGTTATTTTGCGGACCCCGGCGGAACTACGGCTCCAGGGACAGCAGTTTGACCACCACTGAATATCCAAAACAGCTCACCGTGATAAACAGATCCCATTGTGGTCGTCTGCCTCTCTACAACTCGACTATTCAACCTCTGGTTGAGAATTGTCAAAGGAATTCCAGTTTGGCTTTGTGAAATACTGCATTTTCTTTGGTATTTTGACCCTTTCGTCGTCATATTGAAACTTACTGGTATAACTGGTATGAAGGGATGTTGGTAAAACAATAAGGCCTGTCTGAATGGTGGCGGTGGGGGATGACAATCCGGGAGAGTGGGAAAAGTGTAACACTATCACTCCGGGAACGTCACGCCACTCTCATTGTGGCCTATCCTGCCTGTGTGCGACGCTGCACAATATCTAGGATGTAGGATTTAATCTAGTGTCATCTTTTTATATTGCCTGGGGTTTCAATGCAAATCTCATGTTTAGTAGTCATCAAATAATGTCTAGCTTGTAAACGGAAGCGCACCTGCCAGATTGTGTGGAGTGCGTGCATGTGTGCAAGTGAGTGTGGGAAGTGAATAGACTAGAAATTATTGTGAACAGCAACAATCTGGTCCACGGTCAAATTGTCGGCATCATAAAACCTTTATGGGGAAGTACTTTTGAGTTTTCTTTCACAGAGAAATTACAGAATCCAAGTCGTGAATACGTCCACCAAAAGACAATTAATCAGAGGAGACGAAAGCAAAATCACTTTGACATCAAACTATGTTATGTACAGTGTTGCAAAAAAAAAACAACAACAACTAAACAAAAACAAAACAATGAATGATAAAAAAACCACCAAGGTCATCGGTACCCTGAATGATGCCATTTGAACGGCAACACTTTGCGAGACCTAAAAGGCGTCTTAGTTCTGGAAAATGTTGGCACAAATCACAATTGCGCACACTGTTTTTCATTTTTGTTCCAGCACTGTCTTTCAGAAGCAGGGCAGCTCGAAAAGCTTACCAGACTCACTGATACGAGCAATACCGCCTTAGCTTCAGCTTTAATGACATAATACTTCAGAGATTAGACTGCTAACTGCTGACAGCGTGAACCCCCCCCCCCCCCCCCCCCCCCCCCGCCCCGCTTTTGGTACCTTCACAGCACACAGGCTGTGATTTACACATGACAGCTATTTGCTCTGGCGGGTAGAATGAACAGATTCCATAAAGAAAAACACAAACTGAAGCTGGTGAAATGTTGCCGGCGCACCCGGTGACAAATTGGGGCGCGGTTCTATTAGCGGCTACTATTTGAGGAACTGCGGCACATTGAACCGTATTTCAACCGATTCAATGGCCCACCGACTACACTTGCGTTTTGGCCTGAAACTGAGTTCAACATCAAATCTTTTTGCTTTTCCGCGAGCCGTCAATGCTAAGTCGTTAATGGGGTACTTTTATTGTTCCCCCGAGAGCTCCGGAGGTTACATCATTGGCGCCCATCTCTTGTCAGCTTTTCGCCATTCCTCCGTGATCCTTGGCACGTGAGCGGGAAATGTGGGGGGGGAAACTGCAGCTGTTCTGGCCATCATGTCCCGAGCGCCCCCCCCCATGCGATCCCCTTGGCCAACTGCGCTCATGTCGATTTGATTCCACCTGCGTTACCGCTTTGTCACCACACCAACACACTTGTCGAGCCAGCAGTTGTTTAGTTTTTACATTTTGGCACTGCGCGGATGCCCCTTCAGGGAGCTCTGTATGCCTGCGGCAACGTGGCTCATTTGCATATTTAAGGCTAAGGTGATGTCATGGCTTTGTCCCATCTGATAAAACTGGAGTCACATTTGCATTGCAGTTTAGCTCTAACACTTCGCTTGACTACAATAACTGGCTAACTTGGGCACTCCACTTTGTGTTGAACACCAGCAAATGAAACCTTGGAAAGATTTCGCACCCGGGATGCACCGACTGGCACTGTTAACGTCCTTCTGTCTTAAAACTATCAGCTATTGCTTTTTAATTTGACAATAGCTTTGTACAGTATTCATATTTTGGTTTTTAAAGTGCTAAGTTCATACCTCATTCCTCTACCCCAAGTTGCTTTCCCTCCGTCACCCCATTACTTAATTTTCTTGGATTCAGTGTTGCGAAGGGACGAGGCGGTGGCAGCAGGCCCAGACGGCGCGCTGCACAGTAGCCGCTCGCATTGGTTTTAGGTGTCGGGGGAAGGGGGGCCCAAATATGAGATGCTAATATCAGTCGTGACATCGTCCTTCTGTAAATAGCAGCCAGTCTCGGGGTCTGACCGTGTGTATAGTCGGCCTGCGTGTGGTCACGTCCAAATATACACGCTCCCGGATGAATTACACGGCGGTAAAATAATCAATGACGTGAGGCGGGTCGTCGTATGAGCACGTTGAATGTATTCATAGTGAGACGCAAACTGCGGCGATACAGAGGCGGACTCTCAGTTTTGACTTCTTTTGAAGGTTGCCGAAGTTCGTGGAACGTCTGCTGAGATCTTGCGTTGTATGCGGGCGTCTCACGCGAAGAAATACCGTTGCCAAAAAAAAAAAAAAAATTGACTTCTTCTTTTTGTAGCATTCTAAAATGGCACCCAAATTGCCCCTTGCTCCTTCAAAGACATCTCGTTAGTGGAGAACAGGACATCTTGACAGCCAGAAGCAGCAGGATGCAAGATTCCAAATAGGCAGGCGAGTGGGGTTGATTTGATGCCCGGAGAAAGTTGGGCGGTAAACTTCTCAAGATGGCTCAAAGAAAGGTCTGGTTAACATCGGATCAGGATTTTTGTCTATCGTGGGAAGCGTCTGTAACGTAACCGACAGTCCTCCCTGAAAGCAGACCAAGTATCTTTCCGTTGAATCAAAGTAACACATTTGCAAACATCTGCTTTTACAAAGTACTTTGGAAAGAAATATTCAACGTTTTTGCCTGTTTTCTGACATTTCATGGACCAAACCAGGAACTGAATCATGAATTAGTGTCTGCATTTTCTGCACGGTCAATTTGAAATCATGTCCCGTTATGGATCGTAGAAAGGGTTCTGTCAGTCGTCATCTGTACCTGACAGAACCCTTTCTACGATGGAACTTTCCTGTATGACTGAGAGCCTCCACAAGCGTCCCGTTATGGAAGAAAGCAATGGAACATGTTTTTCCCCATCGGTTCGATTAATTGGAAAAATAATTGACGGGTTAATTGATATCTTTAAATAATCTTTAGTCACAGCTTTATTAAAAACGTAACAAAAATTGTAGCTGTTTTTTGGGGGGAGGGGTGTTCTGGAAAGGATTAATGACTTTTCAATTCAATTTAATGGGAAACATTGATTTAAACTACGAGTTCATTTTTTTGCCCAGGATTTTTGGCCAAATTCCAAATGTCACCACCTCAACTTCAGACGGTCCAGAGAACATAAAGTATTTATACACGCCGTTGTGCCGCTGGCGGCGAGGAATGTCAACGTGCGTGTCGACCAGCGTCGTCGCGTCTCGGAGGGCGACGCGACCCGTCCAGGCAATCAAAGTGTCAGCGCTGGGAAGTGAAAGAAAATCTCGGCGGCTGGAATTCGACAGGGTTACGTGGAAGTCAAACGCTTCTTGCATAGCCCCGCGCTGACGACACGCTACTGCTAGTGTGCGACTCTACCCCTTGCTGCGTGTACCCTTCAGTCATTTATCCGCCCTTTCCCAGAGCTGTCAAAAGTACTTCAGTAAAAATACAGACACTTGTGGGAAAAGACTGGCAAAACTGTTGCGAATCTTGCTTTTCCAAATGTATTTTATCATAGGGCGGCCCGGTGGTCCAGTGGTTAGCGCGTCGACCTCACAGTGCAGAGGTGTCATGGGTTCTGTCCCGGCTCCGGCCTTCCTGTGTGGCGTTTGCATGTACTCCCCGTGTGCCTGCGTGGGTTTTCTCCGGGTACTCCGGTTTCCTCCCACATTCCAAAAACATGCATGGCAAGCTGATTGAACACTCAAAAATTGTCCCTCGGTGTGAGTGTGAGTGCGGATGGTTGTTCGTCTTTGTGTGCCCTGCGATTGGCTGGCAACCGGTTCAGGGTGTCCCCCGCCTACTGCCGGAAGACAGCTGGGAGAGAGTCCATCACCCCCCGCGGATCAGGAAATGGATAGATGGACGGATATTTCATCATACTCGTTTAGGTGTTTTCGTGGACAATATCTCATTTTAAATCAGCTGATGTTATTTATTTATTATCAATTTTAAAATAATGTCCTCTTTATGAACAAAGGGATGGAAATTAAAACAGACAAACAAAAAATATTTTTGAACCCGTTTCATTTAAAATAACCGGTAGTTGCAGCCCTACTGTAAAAGTCGTCCAAAAAACAAACCCTTACGATACCCGTGACGTTTACTCAAGTACGGTCCATACTTAGTCATTTGCATTAGCACCCAACTATACGTACGGTACACTGGCAGAGGCCACGCATAGCCTGACTTTATGGAATGCGATAAAATAAGAGCTAGTCAGACCCTGACACCGTGTGTGTGTGTGTGTGTGTTGGGGGGGGGGGGCGTTCCAGTGTCACAGACAAGCATGCCCGCGTCTGTAAATAGCAGGATCTGATCAGCGCTTCACCCAAACAGGGAGCTCTCTTTGCCAGTCACTCTCTCCCTCTCCCTCTGCCTTTTCCTCCCTCTCTCCCCATCCCACCTCACTCCATTGCCCATCCTGTGCTTCGACCACATGTCGGAATACAGCCCCGACCTGACCGGGGGACTCATTCCAACCATCTGGAAGAAGGCAGGAGTGTCCCAACAAAAATACAAGGAGAGGTGGAGGACGTCTTCGCCTCGTTGAAAGGCTCTCGTCTTTTTGGTTTCATGAGGGTAAGAGTTGAATTTTTCTTCGGAATGTTTGCACCTTGCCGGCTGGGTGGTCATCGCCCAGGCTTTCGTGTCGCAAATAATCCCACGGCTTCTGCCATGGGATTTCATAGCTATTCACTTTGGAATGTAAGAAAGCAGACAGCGGAAGACTGAACCGTTTTGACGACTAGAATAGAAAAAAAAAAGTGGAATTTGATTCATCTGGCTTGTCCTTACTCACAGTTTGGGATTTAAGTTTGAATTTGTCAAAAGGGAAATGGTGTCAAGAGTGAAAGCTTTGATAGGAAAGCAGAACCTCGCACCTGTAGGTGCGCACAGAGGGGTGATGTCCGTTCGGTTTGCACAGGGGTATGCTTTCCCCTGAAGAATCATTCGTCTCCTCAAAAAAACTCGTTTGGGATATTTTGCCCCTATTTATGCAAGGATTCTGCAGAAACTGCTCAATGGCTTTTTCATTAGCCAATAAGAGGTCTTAAAAAGGAACCAAAATTGCTGTTACAAAAGGAGGCCTTGACGCCTTCAACGTGACACGCAGTTCTTTTATTTGTTTTTATTTTGACAAAACTGTATGAACACTTCAAAAAAGGAGAGTAGAATTAGCTTCGCATAGATCCTCACCCCAAAAAAATTGCTGACTGCGATATTTCTTTCAAATATGAAATGAATGATATAATATTGAGCTCAAGTCACCCACTCCAAATGGTCATAGTTTTTGAAGAGGTGGCCCGAAATTAATTAAGGTAGCCTTAAAAAAAAAAAAAAAAAAAGCACATAACCTGGTCACAAATATGAAACCCAAAATTTCATAAACCATTTGAAATTTGGGGATAGAAGTTTTGTCCAGTTATGCTGAACCCTGATGGTTGTCACATGGCTCAATCAACGCAATGTTTCCCGAGTGGGTCCATATTGGAGCGGGCCCAGATTGATCCTGTGGCGAGTGCTTCACATTTGCCAGGTTACCCTGATAATGGTGTTAAGATATCGTAACTTAGTCTAAAATATCACCAAACTTTGTAAAAACGTGAAACAAATCCACAAAATAAAATCTTCACTAACTTAAACCTGCAGGATCTGCCCGAGAAACGCCTACCTGGACAATGTGCCCAAAAGGGTCTTCGAAACCTCCTACATTTTTGCACTGCCCGACACAACCTTAGAGGGCCAAGGGTCTTATCTAACAGCAGTAAATATAGCAGCACCCTCCGCTAATCAAGTCGTTCTTATCTCCGTAGTGGACACTTAACACCGGTACCTGGGGAATCTGGACTATGCATGCGGAATGCTGCCGATAGGCCTTAACTTTGCGTGGGCTTCAAATGGCAAACTCTTAAATTGGAATCGTTTGCGCACGTAAATAGAGCCGGTGTGTGCGTGTCGTTTTCTCCTACCCCGCAAAAAAAGCGGGTTTCTCCTTATATTGCACACGCAGTCAAATATTCATTTCCGATTTTTTTTCCGTCTTTGTCCTGGCTGTTCAGCACAATATGGCGGAGTGAACAATAATAAGTCGACAATCTTGCTACTGCATAATAAAACGAATCGCTGTAGTCAAAGAAGCACGTGTTGACTGACAGTCGAACGTAAACATGACTGATCAGCCTTGGAAACGGACCCAAACGATGGCGAAAAAATCCGCTTCGCCAAATCGCGTGAGATTTCATCATCAAATGCGTTTTTCTTTTTCTTTGGCTTGGGTTTTTTTTTTTTTTTTTTTTTTTTTTTTTTTTTGACGCCCCCATTGAAGGACATGAGCGATCCCAAAGAGGAACGGTGTGATGGCCGCCATAGAACCAGATATAGAATCTGGAAATACGATTTTACTGGCATGGCAGCATCTGTTTGTTCGGAACTCCTTTTTTTCTGTGCGCATAGCGCAGATGGAGCTCACGTTGATGTCGATGCCGAGACATAATGTTAACTGTTGTCCTTTTGCAGCCATTTTAAGACCAAAGAGTAGCTTGTTTTTTATACGAGGAGCTCCCGGCAACATGTACCTTTCGTTTGTCTTTTGTCTGATCTTTGACGCCGTGTTGTTTGCAGCCGGGGGCTGTCTGATCTTCTAAACATTAGTCATTGTGAAGTCTGGCTCGTCTAGCGTTCCAACAGACATCTTTTTTTTTCCCTTTTTTTTTTTTT